GGGGCGCATCGACTCCTCCTCCTCCTCCTCCTCCTCCTCCTCCTCCTCCTCCTCGCCCATCCCTCGCCGACCGGGGCCAGGGGGGACCCGCCCGACGCGGGAGCGAGGGGCCTCGCTGTCGGGGGGCCTCTCGGCGACGTCTTGGCGATTCCGTGCCAGTGTTTCCCCCGCTTGGCGTCCGTCCCCATCAGGCAAGGGCATGACGGAGAGGCCTGGGTACGCATTCACCTCGGGCGGTAGGGGGCGCTAGCTACCCAGACCTCCGGCGGATTGTTTTCTCAATCCCTGAGATTTGGCTCAATGTCGGCATCTGGGGACCGTTTTCGGGGACTCGCGCAGTTCAAATGTGGTTCGGGTGCGACACACTGCACCCAGGGAAGGGGTCGAGACTTCCAGGGCCCGCACACTGCACAAAAGTCAATGCGTCGAAGTTCAGGGCATTCGCCTCACCGACCCTGGCCAGGACGAACCTGGGCCCAGGATCAGTGTGTGTGTGTGTTGTGTGAGTGTGTGTATATTTGTTATATATATATATATGTATATATATATGTGTGTGTGTTTGTGTGTGTGTGTGTGCATGCCTCCCTGGCTAAGCCTGGAAGGCGTATAGGCGTATACACCAAGGCTGCGCCCAGCACGGGCCGACAAGGATCGGAGATGTGGGTAGCTGACGTCCCCCGAAGAGCCTGTCAGAGACAGGGAAGGTGTGCAACGGCAGGGTGGGGCGGGGTGAAATTCGTGCTGTTTGACCGTGGAAGCAAGGAGCACGTTTCGTCCTGCAAGGGCTCAGTCTTCAGGGCTTCTGCTGGGCACCAGGCGGACATGCCATATAATTGTTTCAGGCTCCATGCAGGGACAGTTCACCGCAAGAGAAAGCAGCAGGAAAGGGAAGGGAAGCGTCAGGGTAGTGGTATCCCCAGGGTATGGGCCTGCGAGGAAGACTGGATGGAGAAGTGAGGGAAGAGGAAGACAAGGCGAAGGAGGAGGAGGAGTAGGAGTGGAAGGAAGAACTGTGTTCAGGAACGTGGGGAATTGAACGGATGAGGAACAGCAAGGCAAGACGTGATACTTTACAATTCGTTTTTATTGGTTCGCTGGCGGCCACTCCTTGTCCTTATTTCGCGTGTCAGTGTATTATGAATGTGTTCCTCACTGTTACTTTCGCGCCCTCGCTCTGGCGCGTTTGTCTGCCTTGCGCGGGATTCCCTCAGCGGTGCTGGAAGGTGATTGCCTGTAGCTGCTTGCTTACGTGTAGAATTCCTTGCGCTCCCAGCAATGGTCGACTGACACGTGCATGTGTCTGCGTACCTCTTCATTCCTCCGCTTTGTCGAGTTGGTTTAACGCCGTGGTCCTTGAGGGCGCGCATGTTTATTTCACGCGCTGGAGACGAACCGTTGTCGACCATATCATCCATGTAAGCTGACGCAACGGTATTTGACAGATGCGCGCGTCTATGTTCGATAATGTGTTCCATCCAGCTTCATGGAAGAGAAGGGATGAAGAAGGGAAGCATCACTGGCTCAGGCGGGGAGGCGGTGGCAGAGAATACGTGTGAGAGATTTTTTTCAGGATTGGACCACCACACTCGATCCCCGAAGTCGCGGATAGGAGCGAGGGGTCCCGCCGAAAGCTTCATGTACGATCACCAAGTGAAGTGAACCGCCCGCCGCAGACGCCGATTTAGTTCGTAGCGCGCTTCTGCGCAGTCCACAGACCAGCGCTACGGTTCGGCCCCACGGCGACGGGTCCCAGGCCTTCCCCAGGGCCTCCACGATGTCGCGGCCCGTGCCCGAGCTGGGGCCAGGCTCGGGTGAGGGCCGGGAGGGGGGAGGCCTGCAGACGCCAGTCCCCGCAAGGCCCCCTTTTCCAGAGACCCCATCACGCTGCTGGGCTCCACCAGGCCACCCCCCCTCCCCACGCCACAAGGATGGGCTAGACGCAACGGCGTTTGCTCGCCCAGAACCAGCCAGCACCCGTGCGGCTGGAAATGGAGCCGCGTGAGCGGGAAGGGCGGCGCCGCTCCGATGAAATTGCAGGCGGAGAGCGAGGAGGAGGAGGAGGAGGAGGAGGAGGAGGAGGAGGAGGAGGAGGCTGAGGAGGAGGAGAAGGAGGAGGATGGGCGGAGGTGGACGGGCGGAGGTGGACTTCGAGAAGAGGGGCAGGTCGGACCTTTGCGCCCGACGCGTTCTGGCTTTCCTGGTGTGGCCAGGGCCTGTTTGATGCTCCTGAGCCTCCTGGGAGAAACGCACAGACACAAGTAATCGTGGACTTCTACGAAAGTATAGGAAAATATGGGAAGTCAGGGGGGGAGGCGAAAGCCCAGAAAATACGAAAAAGCATGGGGAATCCCAGGATTTGTGTGTGTGTGTGTGTGTGTGTGTATCTACTTGGGCGTCCCTGGGCCCCTCTAGGGGTGACCGATGGAGGACGGTCGTGCTTCCCATCCTTTCCGCGAGGGCGCTGCAGGCCTGGGCGGGCGCGCGCGCGGGATCGTGCGCTCGAGCGTGCGTGCACACGTCCTCCTGCGGCGCGGTCATGAGTCCAGTCATCGTATCGGTACTGGGGGCGCCGCCACGGCGTACAGCGGGGGCGCGCATCCAGAAGCCGTCTGCTTCTCGTCAGGGTCTCCCGGACTGCTCCGCTCCTCGCGCTGTGCGGTGGCTTCCCGCAGCCGTTGAAGGAGCTGCTGCGTTCAGGGTGCTCCAGGCTTCCCCTCCGGTGCACCTCGCGCACGGGTTCTCGGGGTTGGGTTTCTCGCGAGGGCTTCTTGCGGCCGCGCCCGCACTGTGTGGTTCACCTGTGAGCGCATGGTCAGAGCCAGCAGCCCCAGCGAAGTCGAGCTTCGTCGACCGCTGGGCGGCAGCAGCACCTGCTTGCAGCAGACCCTGCGGCGATGCATTCGCAACAGTGCGCTGTTCGACGTCTCAGCGGTGCTACTTTCACGCATGATCAAGAACACTCTCAGGTGCGATCAAGACGCTTGAGAGTAGCATGTCGTCCGTAGACGACGCTGGCCGCTAATCTTTCACCCACGTCGTCGTTCGCGCACGTCGTTTGCACACGTCCCCAGCAACACCGTTCTGCCACGTCGTTCGCCCGCGCGCGCGCCCGGGAGGCCCCGCTCGGCTCTAGCGCCGGCGAGGGCTCCCCGAAGACCGCTGCGCATGGGCGAGCCCGATGGCAATGGCGCGCCCGCCCCTGCGGCCGCCGCCGGGCGGGGTCAGGTCAGGAACGACTCCTCCTCGCTCCTCCTCGTTCTCCTCCTCCTCCTCCTCGTCCTCCTCCTCCTCTCGTCCTTGTCCTCGTCCTCGTCCTCCTCGTCCTCTTCCTCCCCCTCCTCCTCCTCCTCCTCCTCCTCCTCCTTCTTCTTCCCGGGTCGAGCGGAGAAGGCCGCGGCGCCCGATAGATCCTCCGGAACCGCCGGATCTCAGAGATCCCCGGCGTGTCCTGGTCCGATGCGTTCCTGCTTTGGCCTCGCCTTACGCCAGGCGCGGCCGTGCGCGCTTCGCTCCCGAGGTGCAGAGAGCGGCGCGCCGGACGGCGACGACGATGACTGCGGCGGCGACTGCCGGCTGCGGCGGCGACTTCTTCCGAGGCGGCGGCGGCGAAGGGCGCGGAGGCGGCGACAACGACGGCCAAGGCGGCGGCGAAGGCGACGACGAAGGCATTTCTGAAGACGATGGCGACGATGCAGAACAGGCCGAGGCCTTCGGGGCGGGCTACTTGCAGTGCGTAAGAGTCGCTCGGTTTGTGTTTTAGCATCGTCACAGTCGCTGCCTGGAGCCGTCGCCGTTCCTCCAGCGGGGTCACTGCCAGACTTGCCGAGGGTGTTCGAATTGGTCTTCGCCGTCCGCCTTCCCCTCCTCCCTCTCCCTCCCGAGTCTCCTTCCCAGCCACGGTCCTTCCCGCTTCGCTTGCGTGCAGGATGCGTCTGCCCGACCGCGTGGGACGGTCTCTGTCGCCGCTGTCAATGTGTGCAAGATGCGCCCGCCTCGCTGCTGGATGCACCCACCGCAGAGGCCAACGACCCACCGCCGCCATCCTCCTTCCCCCTCCCGCCCTTGGCCATCTCCTGCCTGCCCCTCCTGGCCTCGACGTCCCCCGTCCCCCTCCCCGCCTTGGCCTTGCCGCTCCCCTCTTCCCCTCCTTCCCGTGCCCGCGGCGTCGCGACTCGTTTCGCAGCGTGGGCCCAGGGCCCAGGGCGGTCTACCCTCCCCCTCCCCCATGCCGGCTGCCCTTCCTTGACGGCCCCCCCCGGGCCGGGGGGAGGGCCCCCGGGTTCGGAGGCTGCCATAGGAGGGTTCGTTGGACAAGGTTGGTTTCGCTGGACCCGAGGTCCCTCCAGCCCGACCTTGGGCACTCCAGCACGACCTGAGGTGCCCCAGCAGCCGTCGAGATGCCCCTTCTTGAACCAGACCTGCTCGCCGTCCTCGACGGGTACACCGAAAATTGCCCCGACTCGTCTGTCGCGTTTTTGTTCCAAGAGGGGCTCTTTGTTTCCATCCCGTCCCCTCCCGGCCCTCCCACCTCCCTCCCGCCGCCTCCAGGGCGAGAAGCGCCCCGCGGATGCGGGGCGTTTTTTCGCGTGTCCGCGGGATCGCGCCTCCGAACCCAGATCGTGAGGGCGCGGACGCGGACATACTCGCCGCTCGTGACCGTCCTGCCCGGCCCAGGCTTGCCCCCCCCCCCTGGCGCCCCCGCCACCCCCCATCCTCCGCCCCGCCCCGCCAGAAGCGAACCTGAGTTCGTCAACGTTGCCGCTCCTGGAGGACTCGGTGGCGTCCATCCAGAGAAAAGGAGCGGTGCTTACCGCGCTCGCCGCTTCGCAGCCCGATTGGCGCGACCCTCCGGTTCTCAACGAGCGCCGTGGGTTCGCCGCCCTTGCCGGCAACCCCGAAGATCGAAGCTCGGAGAAGGGTAGGAAGGAGTAGAAGAAGCACAAGAAAAGAATCACAACGTGGCACCCCACAATCGCGGGTAAGAGTGAGGAGCCGGGCGCAGGGCGGATCGCCGCTGTGTCGCCGGTGGGTCGCGGGGTGGATCGCGGGTGGGTCGCTGGTGGGCGGAGGGTAGGCCGCAGGTGGGTCGCGGGCAGGGTGCGGGTGGGTCAGGTATATCCCAAACCCTCGATAGCCGCCCTCTTTGTTTTCGACCGTACTCCACTTGGGTGTATATCTTCCCTTCCTGCCACGTGCAGTTGGCGCAGCCGCGAAAACAGGGGAAGGAAGGGAGGAGGGAAGAGACAAGGGGGAGGGAGAAGGATGGAGCACGAGAGACATTTGCAGGAGAGGGCTTAGGAACAGGAGGACAAGCGGGATAACCAGCCCGGCGGGTCGGGCGGGCGGGCCCTACCAGGCAAGTTGGGCGGGCAGGTCGTGACGGCGGGGTCGAGCGGGCGGGTCGCTGAAGCGTCGACCTAATACGTATCGCAAGGAAGTTTCGAGCAATAGCGTCGATCCAACATGAATCGAGTGACTCAAAGCTTTCCTTTGTAAAAACCAGGGTGCGAGTCCATGAGAAACACTTCAATTGAAAAACAACGTGTGCCCCCAGAGAGGGGATCAACAACAATTATTCTTCAGAACTGAGAGTCCAATAGCGACAAGAACAACAGCAACAACAACACACCATCATCGTAAGACTGGCTTTCATCTGCTCGAGTGTCATTCAACGTGTATCTCCTCAACACTCGACACCCGCCCTCTTCGTCTTCGATCGTACCCCTTTTGTGGGGTATATCTTTATTCCCTGCAGGCTGGGCCCTGGCAAGCGGCGGGACGACCGCGGACCGTCGGCCTGGCCAGCGGTAGCGCTGACCGGCGGCAGCCCGACCCCAAGAGAGACGGACAGGGGACCGACCACGACGACGGCGACGACGACGACGAGCGAAAGCGAGAGCAAGAGCGAGAGCGAGAGCGGGGCCGCGAAGGGCAGTGATGGGACCACGAAGAGCAGCAAGGGGTCCTCGAAACGCGACAGCGGGGGCCACGAAGGGCATGCGTATGGGGCCACGAAGGGCGCGAACGAGCGGGGGCCACGAAGAGCAGATAATGCAGGGCCACGGATGGCAACGACGGGGCCGCTGAGGGCAACAACGGGGCCACGTAGGGCAGTGAAGGGGCCGCAAAGGGCGACAGCGGGGCCACGAAGGGCATGCATATGGGGCCACGACCGGCGCGAATGAGCGGGGGCCACGAAGGGCAGCGAGAAGGGCCGCGAAGGGCTGCAACGGGGCCGCGAAGGGCAGCGAGGGGGCCACGAAGGGCTGCAACGGAGCCACGAAGGGCAGCGAGAGGGGCCACGAAGGGCAGCGAGGGGGCCACGAAAGATTGCAACGGGGCCACGAAGGGCAGCGAGATCCCGATTCCTTACTAAGCTGCGAGGGAGCCCTTAGAGTGAGCGCGATTTCTGGGTGCCTGAGCATCGGGAGCGCTGCGCTTGAGTTAATTGCAGGGAATTCCAACGCGCGATTCTTGAGTGAATTGCAAGCGAGTCTCCAGCGAGAGCGCGACTCCTTATTATATTGGAAGGAAGTCCCAAGCGAGAGCGCGATTCTTGCGTGACGTGCGAGGCAGTCTCAGGCAGGAGAGGGGGTCCTGGTTAAATTGTGAGAAAGTCTCCGACGGGAGCCGTTGTTGTTGTAATCCGGGGGCCAGGGAAGCAGTTCTAGCTTAGTGATTTTCCCAGATTATTTTTAAAAAAAAGGGTGCGCGCCCCGGGGGAAGCATTGCAATTTAAAAGACAACGGTCACTGGAGGGAGGGGGGCCAACAATAATTATTCTTCAGTAGTGAGAGAACAACATCAACACTCATATCAAAACGGTTCGCTCTTATCTTCTCGCGTGCCATTCAACACGCATATCCCAAACCCTCGATACTCACCCTCTTCGTCTTCGATCGATTCTTTTTGGGGGGTATATATTTCTGCGCTGAAGGCAGGGGAAGAGTGGACGGACGGAAGGAAGGGAAGGATGGAGCACGAAAGATGGGGGCACGCGGCATTACGTCCCCCCCCCCCCCCCCTGGCGAATTTTCCGGGGAAAATCAATGTGATTTTCTTGTACCTACCCACCCTACAGCCTGCGCGCCTCGCAGGGAAACGCGGGGTCCCGGTTTTCAACACCTACCCTCCATCCGCCGACCCAGTAAATTCGGGAAAACGCGTTGGCATTGGTCGGCGGTATTTTTGTCGACACCCACCCACCCTCCGCGGGCCAACTAAACTGCGGAATGTGATTCGCGTTAAGCATCACATTTCCGCGCCCACCCACCCGCCCGCCGCCCTCCCACCCCGCCACCATGCGGAATCCGCGGGCGGGCGGGCGGGCATTGCGTTATTGTTCCAAGATTGTCGTACCACTGTCGTAATATTGTGTTGTGATTGTCTAGTGTTTGTCTTATTCGTGTCTTATCGGTGTCTTTGTTTTCAGTCTCGCATTATTGTTCTACTACTGGTTCATTGCTGTCTCACGGGTGTGTTGTTATTGTCTCAGTATTGTCACATTATTGTTAAACTATTGCTGTATGGGTGCGTTACAATTGTTTTATTGTTGTACCAGTATGGTTTGTATTGTGTTGTCATTGTCGTGGTATTGTCGTCTACTGTCTTAATGTTATTTCATTGTGTCGTTATGGTATTTGTACTGCCATTTGATTGTTGTGTTGTTGCCATGCGATTATCTTACTAATGTTCCACTGTTGTCATATTATTGTCATACGATTGTCGTTATACCGTCTTATTGTTGTCTCAGCACAGTATTGCGATTGTCCTGTCATTGGCTTACTATTAGTTTGCGATTGTATTATTACTGTATGATTAGTGTTGTAGCATTGCTTGACTAGCGTTTTATATATTGTATTATGAGTGGGTAGGCTTTGTCTTCTGATTGTCTTATTGTTGTCCTATGATTGTCGTACGAACGTTGTTGAACAATGTACCATTATTGCCCAACTATTGTTTCACGATTGTCTCACTATTGTCTTCCCATTCGTATATTATTGTCTTGCTCTTGTCTTACTATGGTCGTCATCATCGCCGTCATCGGAGTCTTGCTGTCATCACAGTATGAGTGCAACATTTGGTTTTTCTCAAACGATTTTCGGGGTGACACGTGTCACCCGTGTGTTGTTTCACATTCTGCGGGCCCATGTTGTCGTCCAGAATGCGAGTGGAACAATTGGTTTCCACACACGGTGTTCGGGGTGACACGTGTCACCTGTGTGTTTTGTTCACACTCTATCGCCCCATGGTGGCGTCCACAATACGAGTGAAACACTTAGTGTTCTTCACACGGTTTTCCAGGTGACACGTGTCACCCGTGTGTGTTCTTCACATTCTATTGCTCCATATTGGCGCCCAGAATACGGGTGCAAAAATTGATTTTTCTCATGCGGTGTTCGGGGTGACGCGTGCCACCCGTGTATCGTTTCACATTCTGTGGGCCCGTGCTATCGCCCAGAAGACGAGTGAACCACGTGTTTTTTTCTCACACGGTTTTCGGGGTGACACGTGTCACCCGTGTGTTGTTTCACATTCTATGGCCCCATGTTGGCGTCCAGAGGACGAGTGAAACAATGAGTTTTCTTCACACGGTTTTCCAGGTGACACGTGTCACCCGTGTGGTGTTTCGGATTCTACGGCCTCATGGTGTGGCGTTCAGATTACATGTGGAACAGCTGTTTTTTTTCACACGGTTTTCGGGGTGACACGGGTCACCCGTGTGTTGTTTCACATTCCGTGGGCCCATGTTGTTGCACAGAATACGGGTGGAACAAATAGTTTTCTCACACGGTTTTCAGGGCGACGCGTGTCACCCGTGTGTCGTTTCACATTCTGTGGCCCCATGTTGGCGTCCAGAAGAAGAGTGGAACAATTGGTTTCTCTCACACGGTTATCGGGGTGACACGTGTCGCCCGTGTGTTGTTTCGGACTCTATGGCCCCATGTTGGCGTCCAGCATACGAGTGGAACAATTGGTTTTTCTCACGCGGTTTTCGGGGTGACACGTGTCACCCGTATGGTGTTTCACATTCCGTGCGCCCATGTTGTCGTCCAGGCTACGTGTGCAACCGTTGATATATCTCACACGGTTTTCGAGGTGGCACGGGTCACCCGTGTGTTGTTTCACATTCTGTGGGCCCATGTTGCCGTCCAGAATACGAGTGAAACAATTAGTTCTCCTCACGCGGTATTCGGGGTGAGACGTGTTGCTCGTGTGTTGTTTCGCAGTCTACGGTCCCATGTTGTCGTCCAGACTACGTGTGCAACCGTTGATTTTTCTCACACGGTTTTCGAGATGACACGTGTCACCCGTGTGTCGTTTCACATTCCGTGGGCCCATGTTGTTGTCCAGAACACGAGTGAAACAATTGGTTTTTCTTACGCGGTTTTCGGGATGACACGTGACACCAATATGTTGTTTCACATTATATGGCTTCATGTTGGCGTCCAGAATACGAGTGAAGCCATTCGTTATTATCACACGGATTTCGGGGTGACGCGTATCACCCGTGTGTTGTTTCACCTTTTGTGGGCCCATGTCGTCCAGAATACGAGTGAAACCATTGTTTTTTTCTCACACGGTTTTCGGGGTGACACGTGTCACCCGTGTGTTTTTCAGACTCTATGGGCCCATGTTGCCGTCCAGAATGCGAGTGAAATCGCTGTTTTTTCTCACGCGGTTTTCGGGGTGACGCGTGTCACCCGTGTGGGGTTTCAGATTCATTGTTTTTTTTCTCACGGGGTTTTCGGGGTGACACGTGTCACCCGTGTGTCGTTTCACACTCTGTGGCCCCAT